GCAACAAGTCAACAGAGTACTTTGCTGAAAAATATAGTCTTAGCACATAGCTGGCTTGTTTGAGAGCACATGTCTGTCAAATCAGTAAGCGTAAGGAGATGCTGATGCATTAGGATATGTCTTCACTACATTTAACTGAGATTCTTAGAATCATCACAGCATCCATCTATGTGTGAAAACCTCTCATTAAATTACAGTGATGATGGTATAGCAGAGAGGATAGCTTTGACCTCTGGCTCTACTTTTATTTGTACTGTTGGTTTATCTGCACTGCAGGCTGACTTGTTTAGTGCTGATACTTTTCAAGTGCCTGCACTGAATTAGTAACCTGAGTTCACAGCCCTTCAGGGAGAAAGAGCCCTACAAAACCCTGCTCATGCCAGCTGCAAAGAGCTAAGACCACCTGAAAAGATTTAGAGCAAAAGAAACTTCTATGATATCACATGCACTAAACTGACACTAATTTTACCTGAAATCGGTTATCTGTAAATACAATTGTAGTAAAGTTCAGAGTCTGAAATTCACCAAACACTCATATGGAAAAAGAGCAAAGAGGACTTTTTCTTTCTGTAACATCCCCCTTTAATCAAGTGGATGGGGCTGGGCTCTTTTCAATAGTGCCCAGCAAAGGGCTAAGAGTAATGGGTGCAAACTAGAACACAGGAAGGTCCATATGAACGTGAGGAAAAATTCTTTACTTTGAGAGTGACAGAACACTGGAACAGTCTGCCTGGAGAAGGGTGGAGTCTGTTTCTCAGGAGATATTCAAACCCTGCCTACTTTCCTGTGCAACCTAGTTTGGGGAACCTGCTTTAGCAGTGGTTTGGACCCAATGATATTCAGAGGACCCCTCTAACTCCTACGATTCTGTGATTAACCTTGCACATGGACATCACCTCACATACACCCACAGTGGTGGGTTAACTTGGTGGTTTGTTCAGAGAAGAGTTTTCCAAATGAGCAAATACTAAAACCTTTGCATGTGGACTGACAGTACTTCATGACAACGCAGGGCTGGCCTTTCAATTTTTATGTTCCTATTTTTGTACAGTCCTTAAACAAAACAGTGCTCTACAGTTTGGATAAATATTATTTGAGGAGTTGAAAGAAGAACAAGCTTGATCTTTTTATTACTCTTTGTTCCCTTGGCAGTAAAGAAACAGCTTAAAATTCATTGATGAGACATAAATTACAAAATTGGTTCATGCCAATATACTGCCATAAATATTTACATTTAACGTCTGAAAACTGCCTCAGCATTTATGCAAGAAAGTAAGAACATCATTAATTAAGTGCATTTGAAAATGAGGAAGAATAATAATATTCACCGTTTTGCAATTAAGTAAGCTCCTTCCTCATCTTTCTGTTTTCTTTTGGAGAGTCAGGGAGTGCAGATGGGCAAAAGAGACATTAGGCAGGAAATCCGTTATTATTCAGCTGGGAAAATTGAGCTCTGCCACATAAGACTATAAGTTAAGAAATCAGCTCAAGTAATTCCTTGTCCAGATTCTTTACTGCAGGTTGAGTTTGGGTCTTCATTTATGACTTGTGACTAGAATGCATAAATTGTCATTTCAATAGTTTCCGCTTGCATTTGCAGTTGGGCAAATGTCCATGTGGGCTTGGGCTGCCCAAACATTGCAGTTCAAGTGTTGTTTGTTCTCTTTCTTCTCTTTGATCTACAGATTTTCTGAAGCACTGTTTCAGAGATGAGGAACAGACGAGTATCACAGAGAAGGCCATCTAATGGGAAAGAACAATACAGAGAATGATTACTTGAGGAAGTTGTACTGTAATTCCAGTGGGATGTGAGAAAAAAAATTCTGCTGTGCAAACTTAAAACAAAGTATCTTAACCATTTTGACACATGAAATAGTTTTACCTTGGGATACCCCAATTTTTTTTTTAGTCCTTTTTTTTTTCCCCCTAAAAGAAAACTAAAAATGGATACTGTTTGCACAAACCTTCAGTTTTAAAGAAAACTGAATTTTCCACTGATTGTTGAAAAAAAAATCCCAAGTCAGTCTACTCAAAATACGTTTCAAATGATCATTTATTGTATTTTTTCAGTCGTTCAGAAATTTTTACAAGCAAAACTCTAATATTTTTATTTATGAAAACACAATTACTTTAAATAGAATGAAAATGTATTTGGTTACTCAGTAGGAAGGAACATTTGAACTATGCAGTTGTAGTAATTCAAGCAAAATTGAAGGCACTTTTGGATTTTTGCTTAGATTTAGTGGTCTTTTCATCTTGCAAGTAGTACAATATGCTGCTCACGGCAGCTTCAATGTGTTATTTATTACCACAAAATCAGATTAGAGCAAAAAGAATCAAAGCTGGCAGTTTTGATTGAGAGATTGTTCCCAAGAAAATAATCTACTGAGATCCTCAGCTTGTAGGTCTATTCACTTCTTCTGCCATATGCTGCCAAGGTCTCAGTGAGCCTCTGGAAGACTGTAGGATCCTGCATCCAATTAAAGAAGTTACCAACTTGGTGTGGCATTCTGCTGATACTTTGTTAGGAGTGTTTTGCTGAATGGCTTATAGCAGGATTGAGATCACTATTATATGCTATTTTTCTTTCCTGAAATTCATTCATGTTTCTTTATTAAACAACAAGTTTAATAACAGTCACAAACAGGCTTCTAAATTGTAGTTGAAGAAAAAGAAGAAAAATTATTGTCAGTTAGTCAGAATAAATCTATATGCTATTTTTCAGTAATAAAGCTAGAAAAAGAATTTGCACTGAATATTAATGAACAGCATATTTGTTCACATCTTTGATACACTGTTGTTCCACAGTTTGTAGTAATCTCAGCATTTCAAAGTCTTACTAAGAAAATAGTTGTAAGAAAGTCTGTAAAAAATATGCAGCAATACAAATTAATATTCAGAAATGCACTGTGGAATTATGTGATTGCTGTTTCATTGCCAATCATGAAAATATTAAAAAAGTAATATTTTTTTCTGAGAATTTTTATTAAATAATAATCTAACAATCCTTTAAAAAGTTGGGAAAAGACAGTGCTAGTAAATAGAGAACCACTACATTACCAAAAGTTGTGCTTTAAGAACATTTTTTTTGCTATCTGTTCTTCCCCATTCTACTTCTAAACATGCAAGCAATCAGAGTCAGTTTGCACATCCAAACCTCACACAGCATTACTGTTAAGAAGCTACAAAGGATTCAGCATCTGCTCCTGGAATCTGAATTTATAACCTTGGAACACAGCTAGGAAATATATTTCTTATTTGAATATCATGATTTTGGAAATATTTACAAAAAACATTTTTTTACATTAAAAATATCTTTAGTGGGCTTTGGCTATATTGCATAGGCTTTCTAAATGTACAGAGTGCCCTTGACATTGGAAATACTTGTATTTTTTTTTTTTTTTAATGCAAATAGCTGTTCAGTGAAACAAAATGGATCTTTTCAGCATTTTAGTGAATTATTAGTAATACCAGATCTCGAGACATACATATAAAAACATACAGCTTTATATACTAGTAACTATTTTCCTTTCTTAAAGAACGCTTCCAGAAAAATTCCACTGAAATCAACATAATTTTAGTGATAATCAAGGCTACAGGATGAAGTAGCATTATTTCAGATACCAAGAAGAGAGCATTTGGCATGCTCTGTTGCTTCCAGGAAAAGTCTGAAGTTCTGGAAGATCCCTTTCTTAAGGTAGCCTTGGATTTGGCAGTGACTCCTGGGGAGCACTGGTGTCAATGACTGTAGCATTTGACACCAATTGATTCTGCATCTTGTCTTTGAGAGCAGATCTGGTTTCATTTATGAAAGCATCATTTAAATAGTTTGCTCCTGAAATGAAATCAGAAACTTGTCATCTAGTTCTGAGATGAGTTAATCTGGATATGAAAATTTCTTCTTTTTGTTGTGTGGGAAGTTCACAGACAACTCTTCAGCTTTTCACTAACCTGTCCATCCAAGCTGAAGTAGCAAAATTTGAGGAAAAACACTGATCTGGTGATCTAGCAAAAAAGCCAATCCCTCCATATAACTCTGATGTATTTACACTGAAGCGATGTTGCATACACCATGCTTACTATACATATGATACAGAAATAAAATGAGATAGATACTATATTTCAGTATTTTGCTCCTTCAGATCATATTGTAAAGTGTGTTAAGGTATTCCTAGAATAAAGTCCAGTAGAGTTGTTTTTGTGGGAAAATAAAAGCCGGATTTAATTAAGATTATAGAATCAAAAAGACTTTTTCAATTAACACATTCAAATACACTTTCAAAATATCAATGCAAAATACATTGACACATGAAATAATAATTCTCCACATTGCATATTTGCAAATTTATGTTGTTCCCAAGGTTTTTTTTTTCGTTTTCACGAAGATCTTCAGCTACCACTATCAGTATTACAATACTTGCTGTTGTCTCCTCACATCACAAAGCTTTTATAACTTCGTTTTCTTGGCAGTATTTGAAAAGAGAACTGGCATGTTATGTTATAGTCCTCGTAAAATAACATTGTATTGGAGACTTAAATGGTAGTCATAGTTTGGCACAAAAATCCAACTAAATGCTCCTGTTTATCACCAAAGTCCTTCTAGATTTAAGTAAAGCAGTAATGGTATTCATGAAAAGATGAAGCCAGCAACTTCTTTGTTGACAGCATCAGTGTTGGAGCTCCAGCTGCAGCAAATTCTTGGCCACACTCATGGCCATGAGCATTTACAACATAGAAGGTCATAAAAGAGTGTGAGTTTCACTGAGAACTTTAGTAAGCTATGAAAAAGTATTGTATTTATGATCATTACGTTTAACTTTTGCTGGTGATAAGAGAAATGATTCAAAGTGCCATTTTGCAGCGCACCTGGAATTACATGGAAAGTAAAGTGATACAATTAAAAGTGCTTATTTAGTCTTGTATTGACTAATTATTAATTGCTTTCTTTTTCTATTTTGTCAGTAAGGAGCAATCAACCTAAATCTGCTTACTGTGGGAGATCGCTTAGCAATATAGTATTTTAACACTCTTCCATGTTACATTAATTCATGCTGGTACTGCATGCGTGCAAAGATTCCCTCTCCCTGATCTGCTTAGTAATCAGATATCTCTCCAAAAACATTACTGTCTGTTTGTACACGCTTACAGCTCTGTGGAGAGAGAGCAAAATTTAGAGCTAACATCAACTTTCCTTTCACTGACAAAGTTTTTGACCTTGTAACAGGGCATCCTTCTGAGATACTTACTGAAGGAGGAATCCCTGTAATTTCAGTGCTGTGTGCTAGTTATAAATAATGACAATATTCTTAGTGGGTGGCAGCTAATAAATGTAGGTGCAAGTGGTGATTTCACTGGGGAGGTGCGCTGACAGGAGCCTTACTGGCTGGAATATTGCACGGTGCTGTACTTTGTCACTCTTCTCCGGGAGGTGCCAGGGGATGCTGTGCCCATTGCCTGACCAAGGTGACAGTCAGCATTGAGCATTTGGCCCGTGCTGCTCAGTCCACCCAGGCTGGCCCCTCCTAGTCCTCCCCCTGCCAGGTTGCTCATCCCAGACCCTGACACTACCCTCTCAGTGACCACCACATTGTGGGCATTGGATAACTCTGAGGGAATATTTATTAAGCTGCCTGGCATCCCAGAGGCAGGCCTGAACACCCTTTCTGTCACCACCACGTTGGACCCATCTACCAAATCAGGAATGCTCAGAGATGCTGGGAGCCGGGAGTTAGGCGCAATGACTCTTTCCGTGACGATTACGTTGGACCCATCTGCAAGATCAGGGATATCTAGCATGCCACGCAAATCAGAGGCAGATGCGGGACCAACAACCCTTTCTGTTACAACAACATTGGATGCACGCAGTGGGTCAACACAAAGAGAGGGAGAACCGGAGGTGTAGGTCTCTGTCACCGTCACATTGCCATGGAGCAAAGGATCAGGCATTGGCCGTGGGGGCTGTACGGTAGATGCAGATGTATAGGTGTTTTCGGTAACAACCGTGGTAGTGCCGGCTGGAGGAGCCATAGGTGCAGATCCGTTGACAAGGATTGTGGTTCCAGGTGGTGGGAGGTTTAGATCACATTCAGAGTTGGGGAAGGTGACGTTAATGCCTGGCCAAGGTGGGTTGGCGTCAGGGAATGGTTCGATCTCCTTGCCCAGACAAATCTCTGCCAAAGTCTTAAATTTTGGTCCTAAAGTTTCCAAGTATGTTTCATCTGTATCTTCTCCAATAAAGCTGCAGCAACCAACAGAGCCAACAGGAGTACCTATTCCTTCATGATCATATATTAATAGGCAGTCATTTGCTGGCCGACCTTCATCTTCATCTGCATACACAAATGCTTTCTGTAGTTTGCAAAAACAGAAAAGTAAACAGAGTGTCAAGTTTTTAACAATGATGGCTCAAACCATAGTGAGGTTTCCCTACTGCAGTAGGGCCTAGCTGACTCTAAAAGAACATCACAGGACAAAAAAAAAATCATCAGAATGTTTTTGACCTTGAAATAAGCTTTATCCAAATGCTACTCATACTTTCTTCTTGTTTCTGCAAACACTTAATATCTCAGATTTCATTAAAACAGTTACTGCAGAGACTTGAGACTTCTATAAAAAGAAGTATATATCCTAGCAATAATTTTACTAGACATTTCCTACCTTCTTGCTACCAGAATCTTATCCAAAGTTTTTTATTTTGATAAAAAGAATCCTTTGTTAAAATTCTGAAATGGAGGGAAGGGATAGCACAAACAGAGCTAACCAAGACAGCCAAGAAATGGTGGTATCGGTCTGCTGACAGCAGGTCTGACTGTGGGGTGAATGGAAAGGAACACACTTTTTGGGCAGCTGTATCCAGACAAAGTAGTAGGAAGAGAACTGAAGCAGGGTAGCGAGGAGAGCAGCAAGGAAACCAGGACAAAGGGAACAAAGTGATAGTTGGCCACAGTGAGGAGGGCATGGTGTGCCCATTGGAGAATCCATTCTGAGCAGGAAAAGGATTGATGCTTTGATGATGATGGGATGATCATGAAGAAAAGAGAGAAGGAAAGAGCCAAATTTAAAGAGGGGCGAAGTTGAAAGACATAGGGAAAGACAAAAGTGGAGGATCAGGAGGAAGAGGAGAAAGGGAGTTGGGAGACTGAGACTGTCAGCAGAAGGGGTGATTTGTGGGGATAGATATGGCAAGCAGAAAATTAATACATAGTTTTCCTAGGTCAGCTGTGTAGATCACAATCTTGGAGAAATCAGGGGTCCAATACTGGGGCTTGTCCTGTTCAGTATCTTTACTGATGACTTGGATAAGGGCATTGAGTACACTCAGTAAGTTTGCAGACTACCAAGTTGGGAGGAAATGGTGATCTGCCTGTGGGTAGGAAGGCCCTACAGAGGGATCTGGACAGGCTGGATAGCTGGGCTGAGGCCAGTGAGATCAACAAGACCAAGTACTGAGTCCTGCACTTTGGTCCCAACAACTCCATGCAGTGCTACAGGCCTGGGGCAGAATGGCTGGAAAGCTGTGCAGAGGAAATGGACCTGGGGGTATTGGTTGATGCTCAGCTGAACATGAGCCAGCAGTGTGCTCAGGTAACAAAGAAGGTCAATGGCATCCTGGCTTGCATCAGAAATAGTGTTGCCAGCAGGAGCAGGGAAGAGATCAGACTCTGCACCTTGAGTACTGTTCTCAGTTTTGGGTCCTTCACTACAAGAAAGGCATTGAGGTCCTCGAGCATGTTCAGAGAAGGGCGACAAAGCTGGTGGGGGATCTGGAGCACAGATATTATAAGGAGCATTTGAGGGAGCTGTTATTACTCAGTCTGGAGAAGAGGAGGCTCGGGGATGACCTTATTGCTCTCTACAACTACCTGAAGGGAGGTTGTGTTGAAGCGGGAGTTGGCCTCTTCTCCCACATAACTCGCAATAGAACTAGAAGGAATGGCCTCAAGTTGCACCAGGGGAGATTCAGGCTGAATGTTAGGAAATACTTTTCCAAGAGAATGTTCAGGCACTAGAAAGGGCTGCCCAGGGAGGTGATGGTGTCACCGTTCCTGGAGGTGTTCAAGAAACATGACAGTGTTGTACTGAGGGACATGGTTTAGTGGGAAATATTGGTGCTTGGTGGATGGTTGGACTGGATGATCTTGTAAATCTTTTCCAATCTTGGTGATTCTATGGTTTTATGAAATCTGTGCTCAGGACTTCAGGACTGATATTTCATCTTTACTGAATCTTGCATAGATTTTGAAATACATTAATCCTTACATATTATTTTTTATATGATTTTGAGTTTTATATGTGATTAAAGTACTGTGTCTTACATGTATTACACGCTAATCATAAAAATATATCCCATTAATCATGTAAACTCCTTATGTAAAAGCTAATTAATATTTTCCTGATTAATAACAGTGTATTTGTGTCATATGCTGTTCGCAAGTCTTTTAGGGAGCAGAAATGGCAATAAAAATATGGAAGAAAGTGAACCAATAATTAAAGTTCCGTAAGAATTAAAGTTACTAACTTAAACAATCTCTAGAGTAGGCAATTGTGAACAACTTCACATTGTAAATATCTATTTATACACTAAAAACAGTGGAAAATTGATAGATTTGATGGTCATTTATTAAGTTTATATAATTTAATTACTTGCCCGTATCCACAATGTATCCATCAATTTTACAAAAAGAAGTCCTACTGAGTAACTAAGACTCATATGCCAACATAACAACTCCAAAGGAGTATTATTAATATCCTTTATTTATCCTGCGATTCTACGATTTTGTGTATCCACTGTCTCACTTTTGGAGGGTAGTGTAACAACAATCTCACAGATATAACACAAAAAAGGACCATGTCATTACCTCAGAGAAGTAGTTGTCTAGGAAGGCCATGTTCACCCCTCCTTCTCGATATTCTTTTATTGTTCCTCCAACTGATCCTTTCGCTTCCCCAGTTCCAGAAATTCCTCCAGCTGTTCCGTAACCAGTACCAGTGCCATAACCAACTCCTGTAGTTTCTTCCACACCGGATGCTACTACTCCTCCTCCTCCATATGTATTTGTATATATATCTGCAAACAGAAAATAAGTTACTCCGCCTGTGCTCTGTGAAATTTTTCACAGAATTTGTCAGTTGTTTTTGTAAGGAGTATAATAACAGAAATGATCATCTAAAGGAATTTTAGATTAATTTCAGACACAGTTCTATAAACATGTGCCAAACAGTGAAACTGCAATACAAATTAAGTGCATACTAGAATACATCTAAAACCTGGGTTTTATTTGTGAGGCTGAGCATACATGCTTTAAAAGATCAATGATTGACTTGTGTAGCAGGGGAGATTTTTCTCTCTGGTGTATGTATATGCTACCATAGGATTTGCGTTAGCAAATAAGATAATGCTTACAGATATTTATGCAAAAACATACATCTATACATATAATCCCTCTGGAGTTAAAGTCAGTTTGCCTAAAACTTGCCATTTTATGATTCTATGATTGTCACTAAAAGAAATAGCTTTGTAAATCCTTTCATATTTTCTAGTTGTTAGATTATTAATAGTGAATCAGGTGAACAAGAGTTGATCATAACTGATGTTAATAATGAAGAATGAAAATTAACTTTACACTAAATTATAAAATCATACTGTCATAGTTCCAGCTGGGATGGAATTGTTTTCTTCAGAGTATCTGGTATAATGCTATGTTTTGGTTCTAGGAGAGAAACAATGTTGATAATGCTGATGTTTATAGTCGTTGCTAAGCAGGGTTGTACAGATCCAAGGTCTATGCAATGAAGGGCCCAAGGAGATGGGAGGGAATGGAATCAGGTTAGCTGACTTAAACTGGCCAAAGTGATATTCCATCCCATACAACATCATGTGGAAGGAGAGTTTTGAAGGGGATGTGAGTTCATCTCCTTCCCTTCTGCTGCTCAGAGGGCTATCTGGGCTTCAGTCAGCAGTGATGAGCAATTATGTGTGTATCACTTGTTTTATATATTTATATATATAGTCATAACTATTTTCTTTTATCTTAATGAATAGTTTTATCTCAACTCGTGAGTTCTACTTTTTTTTTTTTTTTTTTTTAATTCTTTCCTCCATTCCACTGGAAAGGAGAAACTGATTGAACAACTGTGTGGTGCTGAGTCACCTGCTGGGTTAAACCACAACATACCCATAGAATTTTATCTTCTCCATAATTTTTCATATATGATAGCAATGAAAGTGTGATCTTAAATATTACTGTGTAATATAAAATAAAGCCATTGCAAACAATAGTCTTGTTTACGCTTACAATAAGAAATATAGGCCAAATTCTATTTTTCTTTTTTTTGATCTAGTCTTGGTCTCAGCTGGTAGAATTTGAACCTGGGGCTCACACTGCAGCAATACAGCAATACTGAACAGAGGAAATAAAGTAAATCACAGGTCTTAAACTTTTCAACTGTCACAGCAGTAAAACTTCCCTGAGAACAAAGACTATTAATTCCCATTTATGGCCCTAAATGTTCTCCTGTCTTTTTATCTAGAGGATAAAATCTTTGGCTAATCAGTACTCATCAAAGAAGTTGCTGCTTGCAGAGAGAAGTGCCCTCATATAAGAAGCTAGAGAAAATGGATGTGTACCAGCATCTTTACTGAAAGGAATGGGGAAACTTACTCTCTATGGACATCAAATTCCAGGAGAAACTTCATTACAAAAGTGTACATTTTTTACATTGTGTGCTGGCTCTGTATCTAAGCTGCACACAATTAGGCAGTAATTAACTGGCTACTCAACAGATCGTATTCTCCTTTTTTTCTAAGCAGAGCCTGGAAATTGGGAAGAGATTAATCTTTCATACTAAGTTATAAAAGAAAAATTTCTTAATTTGATCTTGAGATTGATTTCTTCTGAAATTGGTATTTTGAAAAGAGCCTCCATCCACTAGCTGGAAGTAGTTTGCAGAAATGAATCTGCTCATATTCAGGGCTCAAACCTCAGATGCTTTGTACATGCTGGAAATCTTAGTAGTGGCGGTTTGATTATATGCAGAGGCAAGACTGGAAGAGCTGGGTTGTAGCTGAGAAAGCAGTGTGCTCCTTGAGCCAGAGAACATGAAGTATTGAAGATAGCTTTGTGATAGTAGACATTGAAAATCTTAAGATCTTCTTACCAGACGGTTCACCAAAATCACCTCCAGCAGCTGTTGTTGGGGCGAGAATGTGTGAGACATCCTGGAAAACAATATTTTAATTCCTTGAATGATGACTTCGAAATTCCCATATGAAAACCAAGAATCATGTTAAGAAATTACCACTCTGAAATGTTAGTGATAGCTATGAATTACCACTCATAAAAAAAGACTCAAAGTGTTTTTCATCGTCAATGTAAAAGACGATTAGTGAAGGTTTCTGTTATTTTCCTCTACCTTGCATTTGAAAAGCTTGTCAGTTATTATGTTTCAGCTGAGGGAATAGTAAGATCAAACTGTTGGGACAAGCTAACCAAGTATAACCTAAAACACAAAAGCTCCATCCGCAAGTATTAATTAAGGATCACATTTGTGCCTGCCTGGCAATGGCTGAAAATGCCAGGTTTCTTTTAGAAGATGTCATAGTGCTACAATCCCTTTCTTTCTTCTAGACAAATGGAATCTCTTCTGTAAACACAAATTACTGTGGACTTTTGAAACACGGAATGTACTGACCCTATCTTCAGGCTGTGCACCTTCTATTCCCCATGGATGAATTGCCCCTTCTGTGCATTCAGGTACAGGTTCAAATCCAGTTCCAACTCCAGCTGCAGCTCCAGGTCCACAACCACAACAGTCACTCATTGACATCAAAATTGGAATCACTTAACAGGAAAGAAACAGGAAACAGGTATTTAGGACATCTCTTCTTGGTAGGAATAGCTACTAGTGACCAAGAACTTTTGAAAATGTATCTTTTACAATGTTTCAAACTAAGCAACCTGTAAGTCTAGCTTTCAGAAACATTAGCTGAGTATGAATGAAATGTATGTATTTGGGTACTCAGAATAATTTCGCCTTTAGTTATAGCAGAACAAAATTAGGGTGGAGTAGAGCTGTTACTTCAATTTTATGCCTATGCACCTGGGAACAGACTTTGATCTACCTCAACAGAATGAACATAAGATGCAGATATATGAAAATTAAACAAACAAAACCTGTCTTGCTATATATAGCATTCAGTGATATTCATGCTTGATGTAGAAGAGTATGTTTTTCTCTTCAGACATTGCAATTGAAAAGAAATACACATTAGTTACACTAAACTTAAGAGAATCAATAGAGAGCTATCTGTCCGGCTGCAGTGATCTTTGTCTAACTCTCCTGTTGCATTTCCACATCACATGTACTTGATGCTTATTTGAAAAATAATACAATCAAACCTCAAATCTCAGTTTTAACCAACGATCAGACAAAGTGAGTCCGGTTTCTCAATGCGGTATATTATGTTTATTCCTTGCAAGAATTTAGTGTTGTGCATTGCTGAATACTTTAAAAACTAGCATAAAAACCGTTGTTCACTGCAGGAAAGGGCTTCGATATTTCATTCTGACTGTGTTCAGGCTGCTAACCTAAGTAACTAAGTTAGTAACCTAGTATTCCTGCAGAGTTAGGAGGGAGACAACTGCGTACAGCAAACTAACCAAAGTATCTAAAACTCTCACTTTAACATCAAAATAAACCACAGTTTTCTCTTTGGTAAAGAGAAAGGAGTATACAGTGCACAAAGTGCTACTTCATTCCTCATTAATAAGGATGTATTTGTTCCAGACCACTGACTAGAAGAGATTTTTGAAGGCAGAAAGGCAGTCTGTTCTGTAACATTAACCATATGGGAACTACAAACAAGATAGCTTTTTACAACTTCAAAATGTTGTTTGTCAATTCCCACGAATTAGAGACCAAGACCCAAAATGACTACCCTCCTCAAAAAAATCAGGTCTCCATAGTTATTGTAATCAATATTTCTACACTGCTTGATGCTCGTATCATGAAAGAAGAACAATTACGAATGATTGTGGTGGCCTGGGAAGTAAGTGCTGAAGTTCATATGTTGCATAAAATCTAGGTTGACTCATTATTCTCCCTTAAACTCATGCTTTTTCAAAAATACTAGGACACGTGAATGAATGAATGATCTGCTTTGATTCTATTATCGCAGACATCAGTTTTTTAACATCTTATTTAAGATGGTGAAAAAATTAAAAAAGTAAGCTGATGAGCTTTATCTTTCTACAAGTGAAATCTGGCTTAGGGTTCAAAGGAAGTTCGTTCCTCGCATCTTTTCATACCTGACTTGACCCATTTGTTTTAGTAATGTAACTACAGAACAAATGGCAACATTACAAATGTAAAGTAATAAGAGCAGCTCTTGCCCAGAATCTTCTGAATCTTCTGCTAAATATTTTGACCCTGCCTAGTTGTCTGAGAACAGAATAATACTTAAGAAAAAACCTTCAGTTTTCGGATGGAAATGGTTTTTCTGAATGAAATATATGTGTATATGTAGAACATAAATATATAAATATATTCTTATAATTTAAAATTTCTTTTTTTGCTGAGTTGACCATGGGAGTTCATAAGTAAATAACTGACCAAAAAAGTCATCAGAAAAATAAAAAGATACACTTTTAAAAAGGTTTATATAATAATTTTCTTAATTTTATACTTACAAACAAATATTAATCCACCAAGAAACATCAGGCCAATGGCAGAACCGCTAAGTGTGGTAGCAGCAGTTTGGGCATATCCACCAGTATAATCATTTCTGCCGTAATCAGTATCCGTGCTTCCAGTATAAGTGTCATAACCTCCAGTGTCTACACCAGAGTCTGTACCCCAGTCTGTGTTGGAGTCACCGCCGCCACCTCCTTCATACCCAGTCCCACCATAGTCTTGTCCCGTTCCTCCACCAGCCTGGCTTCCTCCACCACCAGCACCACCACCAGCAGCACCGCCAGCTCCACCACCAGCAGCACCGCCAGCTCCACCACCAGCAGCACCACCACCAGCACTGCCACCACCAGCACCACCAGCACCTCCACCAGCAGCACCACCACCTCCAATGATAACTATTTTTGTGGCCCCACTGCTGCAGTAATTGCGACTGTCACATCGACAAGCTTGCAGAGGAATCACATATGGCTGCAAGCAACTTCGACCTTGGCTGTCTCTTACTCTGATAGAGATCTTGTAAAGGTAAAAGTCCATGTTCTGATTTACTAATTCTGCAGAGGAAGCTTTGGGAGGAAAATAAGAAGAAAATGTTTAGATTAAGGTGTTGACTCTAAATATTGCACAATGATACAATACTGTGAATAATATTAAGGTCTTCATTAGATTCGTTCTTACATTAGATCTTTAGTTACTTATACACAGACGGTACTTTTCAAAGCTGAAACATGATCTAGATCTATGCTGTTTTTTTTCAGTTTTGCAAAACTTCAGCTAGATCAGTCTAGTCAGCACTTTTTAACTTGAGAAACATAAAGGTGCCAATTCTTATATCTTACTGATTATTTTCCTCATTTTTATTCCCATGATTTTTAATATAAATTGTAATTTTTATGCTCTTTTTTTTTTTTTCTCTCACTAGGAATTTCCATGATAGTTATGCTTTCAGTTCTTCAAAAGGTATTTCAGTTTTTTAAAAAAATATTTAATGTTACATTTGCATCTGTTCAGGAAAAATGAGACCAAGGTATGATATTTACTATTTAATATAGCCTTCTATGCATACAGTAAGTTATACAAATTTTGTCATTTAGTGAAGTGTGAGATTTGATGAATTCATTAGCTAATTCAGTCCTACTGGAGGAAATTGGATAAGCTTAGAGTCTGAAGTGTTTTCTTAGAGATACAAACAAGCAGAATTTGCGGTATGAACTGCAAAACCTGCAATCTTTATTTGCCATTCTCATAAGACTCTCATAAAAATAAAGAGCAGCTAAGAACTTTTTACTCTAATAAATAAGACCCTTGTCATATACTTAGGATTTTTCTTAGATAAAAATAAGAAGGTATCAACTTATTGCTTTTGAATTGCCTCATTAGGTTTAGACCAGTAGAGCTGCTTATCATAATTAGACTCATGCACAGTTTTGCTGTTTTCTTTTCACCAGCACATTTTTAGTCTCCTTTAAAAGCTGAGAACTAGATAAAATGCATGTAATGATTCTCCTTCAATTCTAACATTAATGCATATACATGTGCAATTTCTCTTTGGTTTCATATGAATATAAAATCACATTTAACTGAGAAGAATACATTTTAATGACTATTTTACATTTTTTTTTAGTAAAATACATCCTAATCTGTTATCTCAGATAGGAGCTTATTACTATGATATACTGTTATAAAATGTAAGTTTACCATTTATTGATCTGATAATCCATGTGGTTTGAGGTTCACCATGTATACTGAATGTAAAGGGGAGGGCGTATTGATCATTTATGCTCTTTGCTGTAATAATCACCGATGGGGAATGCATACACACTTTCCTTAATTCTGTATTAATAACTGGACAATTGTCTCTGGTGTCTTGCATTGTAAGTACAATGGTTCCAGTAGCAGTATATCGAGGAATCCCTGTAAAAAGAAGGTATTTGTGATCAGGAGGTAATATTGATACTATAAACAATGAGTTCAGATGGGAAAACATGGAATTTAAAAAGATATATAGAATGAAGAGTTTTGTTTCAGAACTCAAAATCTGTTTCTTACCTCTGGTAATAGCCAGAACTTCTGCTGTGTACTGCCCATTTGTTACATAGGAGGATTCCCAATCAATAACTTTGCTCAATGTGATTTCCCCAGTGTTTTGATTGATTCTGAACCAGGCACCTGGATCACGTCCTATACTGTATCTGTATTTGGCGTAGGAAAAATATTCAGAATAAAGTTGAATAAGAGACCTAGTTATTTGAGTGGAACAAATTATTTCAGTTAGCATGGACTCCATATGTAGTGGTCTACCTCATATTCATTTTGTAAATTATACTTGTCACTTCAGAAATTTTTTCTTTAGGCTATGCTAGATGCCAATGCATTTTGCCCTATTCAAGTAAGATTTCTGTAGATGTCAAAAGAGGTACATCATAAAAAAAAAACAAACAAACCCAAAACAGTAATAAAGGAAGTGCATAGAGCCAATTATACTTTGAAAGTGATATCATAATCTAAAAGTAAATGAGATCTATCTGGATCCTGTAAAGCTTTAATAGAACTCATGATAATATCAATAGCTAAATCCACAACTCTTCTGATAACATTCTATGGTTGTGTTTGCTAATAATTTTTCAGTTATGTGAAAACTTTCCAATTTTTTTTTTTTAATTGGGTGCATTTATTTCTATATTTGTTTAAAAACAAAGTATTTCTCTATTAAAACTGTAATGAATTTCATGAGGAATAAATACAAAATCAATTTATTTATTTTTTACTATGAAGTGAGCCAATAGTGACTTCTATTCTGATTTTATAATATTGTCCTTTATTGTGGTTCTCTGCTTGTTTCATTTAGAGATGCTGACAGATTCTCTATTTTTAGTAAATGTTTCGGATTGTACAAAAAGAATATTCCTAAGTTAGAAAAAGTCAGAAAAATCTTTTCTGATTTATTTAAATTGTCTCATGCATGAGACTAAGAAAAGTGTGTCAGGAAACAAGAGCAATCATAGCATAAGAACATACTATTCTATTTCTATTATTCTATTAACAATTTCTGCTATTTTTAGAGTGCCCTTTGTAAGTACCCCTTCTACTTCTTCGACTGCAATAGAAATTACCAATTACTTATTCAATTGAAATCTTAATTAAAGAATTTTTCCATCTGAGGGGTAAAATAGAGCAGAGCTTACATAACGTTATTTGCAGTTGTGCCTGTGTCCTCATCAAAGGCTGTGTATGTTCCCACAACATAATTCACCCTTGTTCTTTGTGGTACAGATAAGATCACTGCAGATGGGTTAAATCTTGGTGGTTCAATCACGTTTTTTACTTCTACTATGAGGGGTGTTCCAATGACTTGATATTGAGACATAACAGAATGGTGGAATTCAGCTCTGTTCCTGACACCGATGCTCAGTGAGTGAGTTGGGATATGTTCATAATTCAGTTCCTAAAAAAGAAAACATGGAAAACCAGAAAACAAAACTTCCCAGACTTCAATCTTATTTAAACTATTCAAACTATGTTATTTTAAATACTTGACTGACAGAGCTGTTAATTTTTCATATTTTTTAACAATTAAAACAATTTTAATATGATTATTTCAACAGATGAATCACAGTATTTATCCATACCTTAATTACTCTGAGGATTCCTTGATTTGTAGCTGGATCCGTAACAATTTCAAAGTAGTTATCTTCATTACCAGATATAAAGAAAAATTCTGCCAACCAATTGTCACTAAACTCTTCATCAGCATCCAGAGCTTGTATTCGTAGAATTTCTGAACTGAGTGAATTTTCTGAAATACTTGCTGAGAACTGGAATGACAGGTAAATACTTATTAGCAAACACAGCTGACCACAGAGAATTTTATTTAAGAATATCCTGTCGACATTCAATATTAAAAAAAAATATATTAAAATTTAATTTAAAAAAAATCCGTGTGTAAATTGTGATTTTGATTGCAGATATAAAGAGCTGTGTCACTCCAAACATTTGCAGAGGCAGCTTAGCAGAAATGGATTTGTGTTTTCAGATCATGATGCTTTTGGTTTTAAAAACTTACGGAGCTTTGAGCAAGAGTTGGGAAGTTGTCATTGACATCAATAACTTTCACATGACAGCTACAATGGGATGAAATTCCATCTGCTGCTCCATCCCGGTCTGATGCCTTCACAACCAAAGTGTAACTACTGTGTTGCTGCCACAGAAAAGAAATTATCCTGTTACAAGAAACTCTACATCTTATAAAATATAAATAATAATGTCTTGCCACTGTTTCTTCATACAGGAATTTCCCTCTGATGTTTCATTTTAACACATATAAATATATATTTTCCCCACTTTAATTTTTCTTTTTTTCTTTTTTTGGAAAAGGCACACCTTTTCTCTCTCTCCTCGTGCTGTTCCCACCTCACTTACCTCCCCCCCATGCACCCTGGCATCATATCACTGTTAAAGATACACAACAGCATCGTGTTATTTCACTTGGGAAATAGAAATAATACCTCTCTGTCAAGATAATTTGCTAGATGGAGTTCTCCAGTATATTTATTCATAATAAACATTGGCTGGCCTGAAGGCTCCTGACTCTCTATCTTGAAGGCAATTTTAGAGTTCAAGTGATTTGGTTCATCGGCATCTGATGCAATTATTTTCATCACCAGGGTGTCTGTGAATAAAATAAAATAAAATAAGAAATTAAAACCAAATCATAAAATCTGCTTTGTTCCTGCAAAAAAAGAAGATGGTGCTAAATAGCTGGTGCATAAAAAATTACAAAATGCTATCTTACTGTTGACATTTATGATGAAAAACAGCAGCTTAATTTTGTTCTGATTATGATGAAATGTTAATGACTTCAAAATTCATTAAAACTAATGTTAGGGGAAATAAAGTAGATTTTCACTGAAGCTCCTTAAATCGCCATAGGTAATACATAAAATTGGTGAATACTGAGCCTGTAGATATCCACATAAGAAATCTCCATCGTTTAAAATGAGATTTTCTAGAAGTTCAGATATGAGTGTTAACCACAATTAAGTGTAACACACTCAGTGTTAATAATGATTCCAATAGTTTAGGGAAAAAGAAAAACTTTACGTGCTTAAGAAGGGTCTTATTTATCAATATTCTACTGCAACTGCGATATTTAGGCTGCAAATACAAATACTTGAAATGGAAAAAATGGGAAAAAATCATTTTTTGTTCTCTTATGGGAAATAAGTATACTTCCATTTTTCCTTTTTTTTTTTTTTTTTTTTTTTAAAGTGAGAAAAAGTGGACTGATTTATTCTAAGTTTCACTTTTAAAGGAACTATGTGAGGATACAGTTAGGAACTGGAATATTCAGCATCTGTACATGGGCAAAGAAGAGAGGGAAGGAAGCACTGCTCAAGCACTGAGCTTGAGCCCTGCTCCAATAACATTCTGAGCCATCCTCTGCTCCAGTAGCTTTGGGAAAAGTATGTCATTGCCTAAGAAAAAGTAGAATGAACACACCAGGCTTATATGAACTATATTCTGGATTCTTCACTGACTTTACCATAATAGGCATAACGTAGTTACTCACTGTCCATACTGCATTCTTCAACAGATCCTGTAAATACCGATTGTGCAAATACAGGAGGATTATCATTTATATCCAGAACTCTGACTCGAAGTTCAAGAGGTGGTTCCAAATCCATACCAGTCACTGAGTGTTTTGCAAAGCAGCGTATCTAGATAAAGATATTTACTCGTTTTAAAACCAAAAGCAAAGGAAGAAAAGCAGGAATTTGAAATGAATTAGAACATTTTTCTTCTTGTGCTTTTCCTGTTCCAAACTACATCCATCATTAAAAAGGGAAATAAATTCAAGTGTACTTACAACAAATACTGGGGTCACTTCCCTGTCCACTATTGATGTTATATTAATTTCTCCTGTTCTTGGGTTAACAACAAATATTCCATAAGGGGCACGATCAATTCCAACTCCAGAGATGCTGTATGTGACTGGATTATTTTCTTCACAGTCTGATCGAATCTGCAGTAATAAATAATAGTAATTTATACTGAGAACTGTACAGAGAACACCTGCAGTGCTCTTTTTCGCAACTATTAGTTTCCTTAAAAATCTTTATGTCAGTTTTTCTCCCAACCACATATCACAAGATTCAATTGACTGAACAAATTTAAGTCTTTTCTACAAAACAATCAGCCTACAGTTGCATTTGTGCTTGAGTAGTGGACAAGATTTCTCTTTCTTAGATTTCTAGCAGTGAAGTGCAGCTGTTGGGGGAGATGAACTTCCTAGAGTAGCTCAGGGGAGGACCTCCTTAAGGACACTGTCATGGAGAGAGGGTAGAATCATAAAATCACAGAATATCCTTAACTGGAAGGGACCCACAAGGATCATCGACTCCAACTTCTGACTCCACACACCAACTAAAATCAGTATTGTACAAACGCTCCTTGAACTCCAGCACTCAGGGCCATGCCCACTGCCCTGGGCAGCCCACTCCATGCCCACCGCCCTGTGGTGCAGCAGCTGTCCCTCACCCCCAGCTGCCCTCCCCTGACACAGCTCCATGCCGTTCCCTCGGCCCCTTTGCTGTCACACAGAGCAGAGCTCAGCGCTGCCCTCTGCTCCCTGTGAGGAGCTGCAGCCGCCATCAGGCCTCCCCTCAGCTCCTCTGCTGTGCGCTGAGCAAACCAAGAGAACTCAGCTGCTTTCCATATGTCTTGGCCTCCAGACTCTTCACCATCTTTGTTGCCTTTGTTTGGACTCTCTCTAATATTTTTATCTCCTTCTTATAATGTGGAACCCAAGTTCTTTGCTTTGTTGTCCACATGAGTCAGGCACCATCCTTGAATTTGTGCTCACTCAAGGAGTTTCTAAGAATCAGAAAGAATATCTTGACCTAATACACAGACAATGCACAGTAAGGAGACTGTGGTTGAAGCTCTCCAGGAAGGAGACTGACTGCAGTGTTCTAGGAAGCTTTTGGTCACTCCTCAGCAGCTGTGTGCATTTGCCTTATGAGACTGTCTCAGCAGAGCTGGAAATTCTTAGTCATCTTTCTTTTATTCTACGTTCCTTGCTTTGACTACTCTAAGCAAATGTGCTTTTAAATCTCTTTTATTAGCATGTCTTTAGAAAAAGCGTCCTTGTCAGTGAACACCTCTGCTATGCTTTCTACTTACTCTGGCAATTGGATTCCTTTTAGAATTATCTTCTCCTTCTCTACAGGCTGCAGCAAATTTTATCCATTCGCGTTTTTGTCTTCTGAAAGTTTTCCATCTTGCCGTTCCATTTCCATTCCATTCTTTTACCTTTGACAGAGTTACAGTGTCATATCACCAGCAACCTCAATGTATTTTAAATTAATGCAGATATTTAAAGCATCCCACAGCAAGAAATTTTTGTAGAATATGTGTTCTTAATACATTAACGAGTCCCAAACTCTAAGACTGTGCATGTGTACATTACAAGTATTCCTGTGTAGGAGAAATTCTTTTGAGAAGATGAGCAGGCTGTTACCTGCAGCTGTTTAATATTTAAATATATTTTCAACCTTCAAGCTCAGAAATGCCCTTTTTTAGAATCTTCTGTGTCATTCTTAAATTAATTATGTCTCATTATATCAAAAATCATTTTCTGAAGAAATATTTATTACCTCTACATGAAATCCTGTGCTGAAATCCAGGAGTACCTGCAAGAATGATAAAAAGATTAGCATAAAAAATGCAGGGTAAAATGCAGTAGTTCAAACCCAACCACTGTGCACTGCAGAATTGCAGGGCAGTAGCAGTATGTTTTCTGAAGTCTGTTTCAATAACCTATCTAGGTCACAGCTGAAGTATTTCTGTGAATTTTATTGTACCGTTCATTTTTTTCTATATCCATCACTTCAATTCCTTGAAAATTAATACATTCAAAATTATTTCCGTCTTCCAGGGCACTGTGAAGAGATGTGCCATAGCAAATTTTAGTTATACCTATTCTCAAAATGCAACTTTCACGTGGATTTTTAGATTGTAACCATCTCAGCTGAAAAAAAGAGAAATTAATGGCTGCAAGATTTATTCTAAATAATTTATTCTTTATTTTTTTCTTACTTAGTCTATAGTAGACCTAAAATACTTCGATACACAGTTTAAACAAAAGGAGAAAAAGTTTTCTCAAGGTTAAAGTATAATGCAAAGCCAACTGAAATCAGCAGGTAGATTTCCCTGCTTCAGAGTTCAGTGGGCTTTGATTTGAAGTCTAACTACACAACGAAAGGCTTGAGTAAATAAAGTTCAGAGGATCAGATGCAATATGAAATTATTTTAAAATTAAAATCATAGAGAATCATCAATTTCTTGATTAGCAGAATTCTTTCTTAACCTTCTTTCTAAATAAAGTGTGAAAATGAAATTCACTTAGTCAATGTACTTCTTCAGAGTTTAGGTTTAGGTTTTTCTACCTCTGCTCTCTTCAGATCATGAAAGGTGAAGATCATGGATTTGCCTGACTGGATGCTTGCTTCATTCATCATTGGGAGAAACAAAATACCTAGGTAACTCAAAAAATTGGTGCAGTTTGCCTTTTCTTGCCAAATGTGACTAATGGTTATAGTTACCAAGTTTCCAAGTTTGTATAGTTTCCCAATAAAGTTTAGTTATTTATTTTATTTTTTGACTGACATTCTGTTTTGTGTATTTTAGGACAGAGTTGCATGGATATAATCTGTGATGATCTTTTCTTTGTTAATAACTTCACATGTTATGGGAGTTTCCTAAGTTCAAGTATATTGCAAGGTTGTTCTCTCAAAACTGGAAGATAAACACAGACTATTTTCCTCTTAATTCATGTTAAAACAATTTTACATGCAATAGGGTAAGATTAGATTAATCTGTGAAGGAGAGAGTTTGTAATGTGGCTTTGCCTCTTGATTGTGTACAGTACCTTGATATTTATGAGACTGCCCATGGAGTAAGATTTTTTTGTTTGTTTGTATCTTTGAGCAAGATATTGACACAAACTGCTAAGAAAATAACTTTGCAGGAAAATTGTTACAGTCATTTTAGGTCTTTGAAAAGGAAATAGATATGTTCATGCTGTGTTAAACACATCATATTGCTTTTAATATCTTCCTGACTGTTTAAATCTTCAGTTGACATTCATATGCAGTCATTACCCATCTTGGAGAAGGCAGTCTGCAGTATCAGACTCCATTTAAGCTGTGGGGTGCTTTCACCTTGGTAGCAGCTAAAGCCTGTACTTTTTAAATCCCCTTTGTGGCTTGGGGAAACATGGGAGAGTGGAAGGTGCTGATTACACCTTCACCAGAGAGGCTAATTGATAAAGTCCACCAGAAATTGCACTGATTCAGCATTTCATATCAGTTGATCACACTGTCATAACAGAGCTTGCTTTGGCAAGTACAGTGAAATCCTCTCCACCCTTAGGCTGAAATCCTTTCTGGCGTGCAAGCAATTGTCTTGACCCAGAAAATTATGAGTATACACCTTCAAATGCAATGCCAGTGAATCTTGTCTGCTGACTGCACCTATGGCATATTCTGTTATTTAACAGTGAAACTAATATCTCACATTCAGTCATGTCACTCTTGTACTTAAAAGGCTTAGCTGAAAAGCTGTGTTGGGTGTCTTTGTAAAGGAAAAGCTATAAAGAATTATCTTTTTTAAGGACATAATGTTAATTAAACCCCTTACTTCTATCCTATATGGAGTTCTGCTTCCAAGAAATGAAGAATATCCTTTTTACATGAGTTTCATCCACTGGAGCACCAATGATGGGAGCTCTAATAATTAATTCATCAGTAATGTTGGCAATTGTAAATTAAGGCCCTCTGTTTCCAGCTTTGTCCCTTACTGACGAAGGCAGAAATCCTGCGACTGTATGTTGCCAATAGAAAAATCATTTAAGAAATCTTGATGGTTTTGAATCCAGAGTTCTCAGTACAGTTTGTGATGTTTCTTGAAAATCTTGATCTGACGAACCCAATGTCTGCATTCAGTAACTCTCTCTTTCCATTACTGCTAAGGGACTGAGGGCAGACAGACATCAGATAAAGTTGTCTGGTTCACCAGCTAAACTTAAATAGTTCTGGAGTGACATCTATTCATCATGATCCAGGGCTGAAAAATTTCCTGCCTTTCTAATTTTTTCCATTCATTAGCAGTTAGAAGGCTCCCCTCAATTCCAACTGCCAATGTTTACCGTCTCTGTGTGATGCAAACTCTTTTTTTCCAGTGCAATTTCCAGTGAAGAAGTACATTTTGACATCTGTCTGCAAGATAGTTTGTTACACTTCTAAGCAGTGAACAAATTTCCCTTTTAAACTAGTATCTGATTGTCTGCGTGCTGTACTTCCCATAGATTCAGTGATTAATGACAGTTTACAAGAGGAGACGCTGAAATATGTGGGATGTATATTGAGGACCTTGGGGCAGGCAAGCTGACCAGGATGAAATTAAGATGTGCTGTCCCTGAAAAATGCAGAGAAACTTGAGGCTAGTTGCACAAGCTGTTTCTGGTGTGGGTTGGGAGAAGTGCAAACAGAAGACATATTTATTGTGACAGTCATTCTCACGGTAGTCTGTCTGAAAACCTGTATTTTATTATGATGAACTCTGTACAGAAGATGATGCTTTAGAAGCACACTGGAGTTATTCTAGGTTTATTCTGATGTAACTGGGAACAGAATTAGGCCCATAGGATGTGCATGGTTCTTTGCACCTTCAAAGCAATTTACAAACACAAATTAACTAATCATTAATTGACTGCCAAGCAATATTATGTATTATACGCACTTACGGAATCCTCCCTCCTCCACCTACTCATATCTAAATGACTGAACATGCCTTTAACATCTTCCCAGCATTATTCATATAGGATCTCCTTCTCACTCTTTGAAGTCAACGGCGGTATTGTTACTGGCTGTGATGGGAGGAGTGCTGAGAACTCACATACATTATATGACTCATCAGGGTGCCATGGTAGCTCTGGTTGTGTCAGCGTTTTGAGACTTTTACGTCTTACTCAGCCAAAGCTTTGACCAGCAAAGGGTTGAAATATGAACCCTTCCCACCATGCGTTATGCACTTCTTTAAGAAAAAGATGTACCAATGCGTGTAAAATAATGACAAGCAAACCTGAAATATGAGACTCAATCTTATTTTAAAAATAAGCCATTTGATAACTTTTAAATCTGCATTTTTCATTTTTGCAGGTCAGTAATGATTGTGCTTTCAGGTTTAAGGGGAAATTTTGGGGGATGATTTTTCTGCCAGTTTGTCTTCTGCAAAAGTTAGCTGTTTGTGTTTCTTCCTGCCCTAGCATGTGAAGGGAAACTGAGCCCAATCATTAAAAAATGAATAGAAAAAATGTTTTTGATGGACATTGTAAGCCATTATCATTCAAATTTTGTTTTTTCAAGTTAGATATTCTCTAGTCATGTTCTCCTCAATAAATTTTATCAATAAAGCCAGAATTCTAATATGTCCCAGCACTATAAGACACATTAGAGTCTCTAAGCTAGCACCCTAGCTCTGAATGCCATTTAGGAACCATTTTTACTCAGGAATGTAACTGCAGATTTAAAAAGCTCATCTTGGGTGATACTTCTGATGCAGAATTGCTTTATTTTCTATTTCTACAACATTTTTAAATTTTTTTTCTGAATAGCCTACAGTTTCCTGGCTACACCCTGGTAGATGTTTGGTATGCAAGTATCATAGTGGAGAAGATTGGGCCCCTTAATATTTTTAAGTACAACCCGGTTTATGAGTAGAAGGTGCAACTAGAGCCTTACAACAGGAAAATAAAGCATAGATAAGACATGGGAAAATATAGCCAGACAAAAGTGCATATGAGAGATGTGGTGAATTTAAAATTATTAGCTGTCACATGATGGCTGGCAGGAGAAGAGTCATACCTGATCAAACAGGTTATTTCCATAAAACGTGTCGGCGCAAGTACCACAAACAGAACTCCCTTACTCATGAGAATAATGCCTTTGAAGTCATGTGAGCAGGGGTTGCAGAATCAGTCCCACCAATGGTGAAATGCATATGGTGAATTATTAGTTTCAGAGCTGGTAACTTTTCTTTTTTTGAAAGTGCACTAGCATGCTAAAATATGTATAACTCCACAGACTTTTTATCTGATACATGTTACTAACCATATACTTAGCAGACATAAACTAAGACAGGTAATTTTCATGAAAAATTAATCAAGCCAAAAGCCAAGACTGCTTTTCAGTCTTGCACTAAAATAATTTACATAATATACTTAATCTCTTTGTCCATCACTTTCTTTTGCAGCACTGAAAGATACTATTGTGCTATACATGCCAGCAGGACCATTGCTGTGCAGGGAAGCACACAACAAGAGTAACAATCATTTCCTGGAGTTTGAATACTTGATACTCATCAAAACATAGCGTCAGTTTTCTTGGTACCTCCTTTTTTTTGACACATCTCAAATCAGTCACAATCATAACAATATACTGAAAGAATGAAAATTCTCAAGGTTGAAGAGAGAAGATAAAACAGTAAAAGCTCTTCTGAATCGATAGATTTAAATGCAATGCAGTGAACTTCTTTTTTAAACTGTAACCCATCTGGAGTATGTAACATCAGGTAACTGAGTAAAATGAATATTCACTGATGTTATATAAAAATCTGGCAGTTTTAACACGATCTGCAACATGCCAATCTCAGAGACCTGCTTGCTTCATTATACAAGTAGAAACTCATCCGAACCATAGCGTGCTTTTGCCAAGTTTAGTCATTGTTTTCCTGGCAGCTGCCTTGTGTGAGTTAGTTCTACTTTACTGATGCCTGCAAGATACAACCCATCGATTACCTTCTCTAAGAAAGTCTCAGGATTTTGTATGCTACAAAAACATACCCCTTTTTTCCTAACCACCACAGCCCCAGAGGTGTCAGTGACACGGAATTAACAAACTAATACATTCTGTAAATCAAAAGCAACTAGAAAACATAACTGTACAATAAATTCTATCCTTTTCAGTCTGAGGGCCCTAAAGCTCTACCTAAATTTAAATGAGCAGCACAGATGAGTGAAAAAGTCCATGCAAAAAAGAAAAAAACACAATGCAATAGTAAAAGGGCCACCGTAATTCCTTTAAGTCATTTCTCTCTAAGTTCTGTGTCTTGATGAACACATTGTACAAGTATTTCGTTTCACCATAGCCACAGCTTTCCTTCTACAGTAAGAAAAACAAACCCAAGCAGTGACACTTTCATCATGCATTCACTTGCTCGGCACATGGCTGCTCCGACACACACACACTGCAAGGTAGGAGTTCTTTGTAGTGTGAAATAATGGGCAAAGTCTTGATTTTTGCTTGGATATCATTTTCTCTACATTTCATCCTTTTCTCTTGATTATAACCATAAGATTCATCCAGTTCTGAAACTATCCAGTTTAGAAAAATACATTTGCTCTTCACCTTCTCACAATTAACAAAAAATAAAGACATGAAACAAAATAATAGCCAGTCAGGTTATCAGGATTTCTTTTTTAAATGATAAGATTTTTATTTTAAAATGGGACTCCTTAAATAGTACCCATAACAACATTATCCTGAAAAGTCAAGCATTAAACATGGAAACTTACATACTAAGCATCAAAAGACTATGAAATCGTAACCAAAAGAAACATCTGTGAGCATTTAATGAAAACCTAAATTACTTGTATAGAACCTTTAGAAATGCAGTTTAAAATGAGACTTATGCCAAATTCACAAGATTTTCTGGGGTGGGGTATGGGGGGTTACTAGTTTAAACTGTGAAATATAATGGGCTGCTGAGGAAGATTTGGTCGGCACGAAGTTTCCAGATATTGTTGTAAAATTTGACTTACCAATAAGAGGAAAAGAAAAGCAGCTGTTCGGTGAGGGAGCCAATCCATTGCATCTGACTTCTTGGATACAAGTCCAACTGAGTTATGGTTGCAAGCCTGTTCTTTTTCCCTCCCCCCCCCACTCTGGTGTCTATGTAAAAAGACACTCGGTAGATGTCCTTATACTCAGCCTTTCAAGGTGTCTCTGCCTCCCTCTGAAGGAAGCACTGAAGATGCTGTATAACAGAGTGTCTTTCCCCACCCCAAAATCCTGGGCTGGTCTCATCTGAAATGCTTGACAACATCATTATTGCTTGCAGGTAAAAGCTAAGAGACACACCTTAATGCTTATTGCACTGAAACCCTTTGTTGGATACAAAAGGGTACGTTTTAAAAACAGAAGGCAAGCTTTGCGAGGAAGATACTGAGTGATTTATAAATTACAACATAAGGAATCATTAAAATGGTAACTTATCTTTGCTTTGAATGCATTTGCCAGTTTTCTCCTTGCATCGAGTACAACAGAGGAGCTTCATGAATATTTCAGTAGGGAATATAAACTTTAAGAAGCGATTGAGTTAAAAACACATGTTCATTTGCTTACTGTCAGGCAAGAAGTCAGTTCCATGCACATTTCCACAGAGGTGCAAAACCCCAAGCACTTTTTTTGTGATTAAAAAAAATGAACATATTAACTTGGGGAAAAAAGGTGTTTTTCTCGTTGGACCAAAAAAACATTCAGAGGCAGAGAAATGACACTTTCTGCTTTCATTACTTGCATGCCATACCTGTCTTTTCCTATGGGTTGTGCTCTTGCTGACATGGAGGAGGAAAAAAAAAAACACTCCTTGTGCCAGAGAATCTGGAGAGCTGCTCAAAGTGATAGGTGGTGGAGAGCAAAGGGAGGATGTGCTCACTTCGGGCCTCATTTGGGATAGCATGCAAACAAATAGTGAAGGATGAAGAAACCTCTGCTCAGCAATGGATCTCTTTTTGCTGCACTGAAGGCTTTGCAACTGCCTCCTGGCACACTTGGGGAAAAAAAACCTGAATATTCACTGTGCTGGCAGACTTGTGAGGAGGGTACACCTTCAAAAGTGCAATACAGCTAGCATGCTCTTGTTCCTTGAGCCCACTGAGGTGTGAGGCATCTCCTAGGACTGAGCTCAGCACCTCCAGGGGTACTCAGCATCTCCTGGGATGAAGCCTTATGCTCCTGCCAGTTCTGTATTTTAATTCTGATCACTGAATATAAGTTATTTCTTACAAATGTAAAATATGCATATTCTTTTACAGACTCATCTTTGCTCAGAAATTTTTTTCATTACCAGAAAAATTAATTTGATGTACAGATAATAATAAAGTGTGTCAAACAACAGTAGTGGTTACAGCAAAATTGAAAATAAACAATAAAAGAAAACCCACCAGCTATTTCACTGTATCTCTCTGTGACATACCTCCTATGAAGAATAGTGCACATGGACTTATCAGAGGGGATAAATAGGAACAATTTTTCAGTGGAAAAAAATGCCATATGACATTTCAAAACAGATTTTTTTTTTTTAATGGTCAAACTTTAGAAAACTTTATTTGCACATTAAGAATTAAAAAATATATTTTAAGAAAAAAAAAATGACAAAAAAATTTGCAATCATAGACTCATAGAACCTTTTGAGTTGGTAGGGACCTTTAAAGGCCAGTTCAACTCCCCTGGAGTGAACAGGGACATCTACAGCTACATCATGTTGCTCAGAGCCTTGTCCAGCCTGACCTTGAATAGTCTCCAAGGACACTATTCCAGTACCTCACAACCCTTATAACAGAAAACTTCATTCTTACACCGAATCTAAGTCTCATCTCTTTTACTTTGAAACCATTTACCCTTGTCCTATCACAACAGACCCTGCTAAAGAGACTGTCTCCTTCCTTCTTACAGTTCCTCTTCAGATAGTGAAAGGCTGTTATAGGTCTCCCTACAATTTTCTCTTCTCCAAGCTGAACAGCCCCAGCTCACTCAGCATGTCCTGTAGGGGAGGCGTTCCATTCCTTGCATTGTTTTTCTGGCCCTCTTCTGGACGTGCTCTAACAAGTCCACATCTCTCTTGTACTGAGGACTCCACATACAGATGCAGCACTCCAGATAAGGTCTCAGCAGCGTAGAGTAGAGAAGCAGGATCACCTCCCTTGCCCTGCTGACCATGCTTCTTTTGATGCAGCCCAGGACAGTATTGTCTTTCTGGCTTGTGTGGGCACTACTGGCTCACGTCCAGCTTCCCATCCACCAGTACTCCCAAGTTATTTTCATACTTCACTATAGAGCCATTTTTTTTTTTTTAATATTTCCCATGGTGCCAATGTGCAAGAGCAAAAATGAGCTTCACCTAGAAAATAAGAACAGGAAATTACAAAGGAGAGCATGATGAAGTAATAATAAATCACAGAAAAGGTAGATGTTTTTATTTATTCTGGTAAAATGTTAATATTATTTGTAGTTTGATATTCTGAGAACAATCAAAGTAATATGGTAAGAGAGTTCTTCTGTAAACTGTTCAGGTCTCATGGGCAAAAAGGAATAGAACCTGTAAGGTGTCCACTGAGAGGAAGATGCTAAAAAAAATAATAGTGTAAAATATCTTGAAAGCAGAAATAACAATAATGCAGTTCTACTGTGAACCTCTGCCTTTCCACATTCATTTTATTAATGTTTACATGGTTTAAGTGTTACAACTGTTTCTGTCTCATCTAGGTGGCAAAATGTGACTAAAACATTCATGTCATCAAATTTCTAACAATTTTTGTGATTGTTGACTTTATATTAGTGCTCTTACTTGAACAAAATGGATCAACTTACATATCATTTTGCAAAATGAATGAAAATTAAGTTAACATGTTCAGGAGATTGGGTGTTACCTTAAAATGTGATATAGCTACAAAAGAAGAGGCTATTTGAAATTTTTTTGCATACTTGTGTCACACATGAAGAAGGAGGTAATCACTGATGATGAGATAACTGAATTGCAGGTAAGACATTCCTACTGGCAACCTATCTGTTGCTTTTGCTCTTGCTTCGGTGTGGATACTGACATAAAGCCTTTCTCAAGGAGAGCTGCTCAGTAGCTCCTTCCCTTGAAGACAAGTGACGAGGTTACCAAGTGGGAATGCTTAGCATTAGAACTTAGAAAAACATGGTGGCAGGCTGAGTATTGTGGCCCAGCTAATGAACTTCCCACATTTTCTTTTCAGAGAGCATTTAAGCAAACTACATCTCTGGGACAATAGCGTTTTTCCTTTGGAGCGAAAATATTTCATATCACAGGACCATAGAATGTCCAGGGTTGAAAAGGACCACAACGATCAGTTTCAACCTCCTGCTATGTGCAGAGTCACCAATCACTAGACCAGGCTGCCCAGAGCCACATCCAGCCTGGCCTTGAATGCAGGGATGGGGCATCCACAAACTCCTTGGGCAACCTGTTCCAGCGTGTCAGCACGCTCAGTGTGAAAAACTTCCTCCTAATATCTAACCTAAACCTCCCCTTGTCTTAGTTTAAAACCATTCCTCCTTGTCCTATCACTATCTACCCTCGTAAACAGTCATTCCCCCTCCTGTTTATGTGCTCCTTTCACGTACTGGAAGGCCACAATGAGGTCTTCCTGGAGCCTTCTCTTCTCCAAGCTAAACAGTTTGCTTATCTCCAGATAATGCCAGCAGACACTGACGAGTCTCAACCTATGTTCTTGTTGGTTTTGGTTTTTTTTTTTTCACATTCTCGGCATTAATTTTTCAGTGTTTCAAGGCTGAGGATCATAACCTTAACTGAAGAGGAGAAATTAAAGGGAAAATACATGAAAAGAATTAAAAGCACCTTTAAAATCAATTGTAGTACAATTTGGATGGTAAACCCTGAACTAACTTAGTCATAAATTAATGATGACTTTATTAAACTGATGTAGAGCAGATTAATGTGGATATATAACTAAATTTTTAAATTAAAAAATTTTGCTTTTGTTAACTATAATAATATTGATTTATTTCTTTTTGTTCTTCAGTTGCATAGTATTCATCACATCCTGTAAATACTTTCTTCTTTATTAGTATTTATTTTTCAATTATATATAGATATATATATATTACTTTGCTTTGATTCCGTCTGATTTTTTTCACGGAACTTTCATGCAGGTAATTTGTTAAATATTTTCATATTTTTTTTTCTGTCTGAACTAAATATAGGTATTAATATACATATTAATACAATTTTGCATTATCCACCTCTGTAAAGAACATACATATATTCCCTTGTCTGACAGGCAGCACTTAATTTTCAGATTTCCTATATGGCTTAAAACATGCAGTTTTTAAAGGTAATAAACCTCAGAGCAGATGATAGGAGGGAGAAAGAGGTAATGCTGCAAAACCAGGGGCAGAGGATGGGTAGGACAACCCCTTCAGGCTACAGCAAGAGCTTGGATCTATGTGAGATAACCACAAAAACACACCCTAAAAATGAAGTTTGAAATAGTTCTCAGACATAGCCTTGAGTGAAAGTCTCCCATGTGGGAAGTATAAACAAAACCCTATGACAAACAACAACCCCCTCCAGCCCGCCTTCAACAACAATCTAAACAATTAAACTTTTCTACTATAGCATTATTTTCTTGATTGAAGGTTGTATGTTTCTCCAGAAGTTACCTGGAAGATCTGCCATTCCTACGTCAATATAGACCTCTATTCCAAAAGAACAAGCTAGTGTAAGACTTTCCTAAATTGTCTGTTTTCTGGGAACCAGGAACATACATTTAAATTATTTTATCAATGCTATATTCAGACCTACATGGAAGGTAAAAGAACAGAGTTTCTGTAGTACATTCATATGCCCAAGAAAATGCAAATAAGAAGTACCATTAGCTCTTTCAAAGCATTGGATGAGGAAGTCAACATGATTAGGCCTATTTTAATATGAGGAACCTGAGACATGAAAAGAAAAAGTGATTTTTCTGTAACAAGCAAAGCAGGGACAGGAAGAATCTCACCTGTTGCATTTTAGGATATGTGACAAGTGGCATATGGCAATGCACTCACCTCTAATATATTTTATTTTAAATTTATGGAGCTGTAGCTTCTGGGAACTGCTTGAAACATAAGGCACACAGATGTTCTGCAATGCA